TTTCTCTCTACCTGTCTCTCTGTGTATGTGTGTGTTTGACTCTGTCTCTGTGTGTCTCTTTCTCTCTCTCTCTCTCTCTCTCTCTCTCTCTCTCTCTCTCTCTCACACACACACACACACACACACACAAATACACACATGTACATACACCATTGCTGGTGGGGTATTGAGTCAATACTTCCATTCTTAAGACCCGTGTCTATGCAAGATGGATATGTGTCTCCCCTGACCCAGCAATGCCAGTGCTGAGTGTAGCTAGATACCCCATGTGGGGAAAGAGCTCACTTGCACACAGTCAGCACATTATTGAGTTTTGTTTATAACTCCTTAACAGTGTTCCTGACCTAAATGGCAATTGGCAGAAAGGATGAAGTATGCAGGTTTGCTTGAGGGATTTCTAGACAAATTAAAGAGAGAACAAACAATTGCTCTGAGTTCTCACCAACATAATGAGCTGGGAATGAAGCCAACAACGTGTTTATATACTTCTTTTAAAAAGGCACCGTGTGCTCAAACTAAGAGTTTAATTAAAATGGGATCATACTTTGCAGTTTTCTTCCAAAGGCCTGTTTTACTCTCAAGAAAACACTTGTTTATTTATTTCCTCTGTATCCTTAAAGTACTTTGAAGATCCTTAACTTAAACGGGCAAAGAATCAATGGGAAGAGATTCTCCTGGGCCTAGAAACCCACATACTTCCTGTGACCCCATTTTCCCTTCAACACTGTGATAGTTGCTGAATATCAGATTTAAATAGCTGGCTTCTTTCTATTTAAATCCTTCAGTATGGACCCAGCCTGCCACCAGCTATCCTGCCTGCAACTTAAGACCATGACTGGAAGTTTGCAATTTTCTCTTCTTTCAACTCTTACACTGTTACCAAAATAAAAAGCTACTTTTCTGTAGATAACAATTTAAAAATTGACCTACAAAAATTATAAAGGCAAGGGTCACATGTACACCTGTTATTCCAGCACTTGGGAAGAAAAAGCACGAGGATCAAGGGTTCAGTGTCATCTTTAACTACGCAGGGAATTTGACACTAACATGAGACCTTGCCTCAAAAACACACAAAATGATGAATAAACAAAAACAGTGTGTGTGTGTGTCTGTGTGTGTGCATGTGTGCAAAAAGAAAGGTTTTATAAATGACACCGCAAAAGATTTCTGTTTAATCTTGCTTTTAAAGTAAGAGTCAGTTTGTGGCTAGAAAGATGACTCAGTGGTTAAGAGCACTCCCTGTTCCTGCAGACCGACCTTAGTTTGGTTCCCAGTACCCATCCATGTCTGGTGGCTCACAAACAGCTGTTACTTCAGCTTGGGACATCTGACGTCATCTTCTGACTTTCCCGGACACAAGTGTATGTGGACACATACCCATACGCACATGAATACACATAAATAAAAATAAAATTTTAAAGTAAGAATTAATTTGACTCGAGTTATTTAAAGGAAGGCATTTGATTTGCACGATTTAGTAACCTAAGGAAATTATGGTTTCACTGTCAGAGTGGAGGAAAGGAAATGGTTCATGTGGTTTCACTTAAAGGTTGCTGTGCATTCAAATTTCTAAAGTCTATCCGAATAAGTTGAAACTTAAGTTTCTGCAAGATAAAGCAATATCCAAACTTGTGCTTAAAATATTTTTGTTTGGATGTACCTCCTGTCAGTCATGATAGTGGAAGAGGTACAGTGATCTCTACTAGTAATATTTTGAGAGACAATGACATTTATATTAAGACTATTTTTATATTCTTAGTTTATTTTTATTGAAAATATATTTTTCATTAAATGTCTCCTGATTGTGGTTTCCCTTTCCCCAACTCCTCCCAGATCCTCCCCACCCACCCAAATCCACACCCTTTCTTACTCTTTCTCATTAGAAAACAAATAGGTACTTCCCCAAAATAGTATGAAACAAACCTGAATAGAATTTAAGAAAAGGAAAGAATGAAGGCAAGCATAAACAAAACATTATGAGAAGAAAAAAAAACAAACCTCTAAACCATTGAGTTGGTTTTGTGCTGGTCATGGACCGCTGAGCATGGGACATGCCCTTAAGTGAGTTCGTATACCTAGTGGTAAGATTCCGTTAGAGAAAACTATCTTTCATTTGCAAGTAGTTTGTCATTGGAGATAGCGTATGTGTTAGGGATGGGGACTGTGTCCACTTCCCCTCTCAGCTCTAGGACTCCATCTGGCCCAGACCTGTGCAGGCCCTGTAGATGCTGTCACAGTCTGTGTGAGGTCACACACCAGCCCTCGTGTGTCTCAAAAGCCTTGTTTTCTGGGTACCCTCCATCCCTTCTTGCTTTTACACTTTTTCCACCTCCTTTTTGACAAGGTTCATGGGCCCTACGTGGAGGTATTTGATGGAGATGCCCTGTTTTGGTTTGAGTGTCTAAAGGTCTCTCACACTCTGCACGTTATCCAGCTGCGGGTCTCTGTATTTATTTCATCTATTACAGGAGGAAGCTTCTTTGATGACAACTGAGCAAGATGTTGGTCTATAAGTACAGCAGAATATCATTAGGAGTCCTTCTTGTGCTAGGTTCCTTTAGCATAACAATAGTATTTGGTTTTCCCCTGGGTCCTTGACTATCTCGTCTCAAGTTTTTTTTTTTTTTTTTTTTTTTTGCCATACGAGTAGTGTCAAGAATGGGTTCTCTCTCATAGGGCGGGGTCTTAAATACAATCAAATATTGGTTGGTTTCTACCACTGTGGCATTAGTGCACCTTGCATGCAGATCACCTTTGTAGGTCAAAGGGTTTGTGGCTGGGTTCTCCTGTGACAACATGCAGATACCTTACAGTACAATAAACATAAACATTAGTGAGTAGGTAGGCACCAGCTCAACTTCTCCATGTTCAGTTAGTTGTGTAGATGCAATCTTCAGCAATGGGGCCACCATTAGTCTCAGTAATACCCTGGGTTGTTTGGGGGTTTCCATGGGTCCTCTTTGTCAAACAACTTGATTACATGCACCCCATTCCCGGCACTGGACACTTCATTTGGTGATGAAAGATACCCAACCGGGGCTCTGTCTCCCCTCGTATTTGGCAACTTTATTTAGATAATCTTCATATATGTATACATTTTGAGAAGTTTCTACTGTATTAGGTTGCCATATGATCCCTCAAATGACCCTTAGTTGTAGTTGTCCCTCTTCGTGGTCCCTCTATCTCCTCTCTTCCCCCATCTATTTATGGGGAAAGATAGCTAAGATATATTTCTGATCTTGTACCATGCAATTCTTCCCAAATAAAATGTCGTTATCAAAAGAAATGATAAGAGGTTAGTTCTGTAATGATTACTGTGTCTCAGAAAAGCCATGCACAATGTGCCATTTGTTCAGAATTACTTAATGCCCTGTGATTTATCATACTAAATTTTATTTTAAATTTAATGATAAATTAAGATCATCATATTTCTCTTTGTTTATAAACACATCATTTAAATTTAATGTAAGTTAAATTTAATTTAAGGTAAAGTTAAGAGATTTTCATTTTATACATATGGTTTAAATTAAATACAATTCTGATTCATCCTCAATAATTTTAAAAAGCTGCTTATCCAGAATTCAATATATACTGAAACTGAGGTCCAGTGAAACCGAGTGAAAGTCTAGATGACCCATTACACTGTGCCTTGTGTAGCTTCAGTTTATTTTAACGCTGGCCTTGGCAGTGCTGCCTGCTTCCCAAGATTCATGGTCACTAACTTTACATGAGTCTGGATTTCAGGGACCTGTAGACATACAGAAGTCAATTAGATAAAGTGTCTGAGACTTCACTTGCTGTCTGCGTGGAGGGAGTGACTTGCTCTGGGTTCTCACTTAGAGCGGAGTTAGCATATGAGATGCTTACACCTTGCAGAATGTGTAAAGTAGGAATGTCAGACCTCCTAGATACCATGCCCTGAGCACGACAGGACAAGAGTCTGTGACTCCTAGGTAGAAAGACGTTTGAGAGGAAGGCCAGAACTAACAATCCACAGGCTGTCATTTAACAAATACTAACTCTGAGCAGGCATGTTGAATAGGATCATAGATATCACCTGTCTGGAAATATAAGGACTGGGCCTGTATATTGAATTTGACAAGCTGATGGTTATTCAGGACTCTTGGTAAAGTATGTGTATTCATGTTTTGGTGATTTGAAATTAAGTTTTAGTAAGTTAGATATCAATCAGTGGAAGGAATTGTATTATACAGTTTTGTGACCTCTGTCCACCAAGCACTTCCAACACATATACCACACATTGAAATGATTGTAATAAGCACAATATTTCAAAAATTGTTATAAAAGTAATAATAGTAAAAATTTTCTTGCTAATATTATTTATCAATAACATGCCAAAATGATAGCTTGTATATATTGAGCTAACATTTTATATGTTGAGTTCATTTTATGGGTCTCTTTTTGCCTTGAAATGTAACTGCTAGAAATTTAAAACACTGTGATCAATCTTGGGACTTTCATTTATTTCTACTGAGTAACACTAGTACGAATTATTTCCTTTGAATGAGAAAATTGTAAGCAAAGCGTGCCTCGATAGAAATTTGTGGTCAAGAAGAAGATTTAAATTTGCAAGTGGCCCAGGTAAAGGGAAGATCAGAGAGGAAAGAAATGAGGGGGCAGATTCAGTAAGAGGTAGAGTCGGCAAGTCAAGTTTGTGGGTGAAGCCTGGGTTGATCGAGAAGACATCGTGTTCTCTGAAATGAGACCCAAATGAAGGTGAGACTCGATGGAAATACAGATAAAATGGAGGTGAATGGACAGGAAGCTGAAGGTATATGGTATATAAAAGGCATTCAGATTTCTATGAGGAGTTCATATAACTATACAATTTGTTGACTAAATTACAACTTTACATATACGAACCATATTTTTTGTCATAAAGAGGTCACTCGTGTGTAGGAACTTGTGAAGTAATAATGAAGACTTATAATTGTTCTAAAAGAAAGCAGCTCTTCCTGACGCAATCCTTTTGTTTATAGGAGAGTTTGATACAGTTCAGAGCCCCTCCACACCAATCAAAGACCTCGATGACAGAACATGCAGAAGTTCTGGGTCAAAGTCTCGAGGAAGAGGCCGGAAAAACAACCCCTCACCACCTCCGGACAGTGACCTGGAGGTATGCCTGCTTATCTCTGAGGAACATAAGATACTCAAATTTACTAAGTGGTATCATCCATACTTTATAGCCTAGTACATTTCCAAATTAAAATATGTATCATAAATTGAATGGACCTGCTTTGTCGTAGCTACTTTATCAGTTTGAATTTTGGGATATTTGTCTACCCTAATACCAAAATTTAAAACAGTAACGTCAAAGGCAAGAGAACTTTGAAAGTTGAATACCAATATAATTTCATCTGTTGACCCAAACTGATTTTAAAAAAAGGCTAAAAGTAAACCTATTATTTGTGGAATAATATCCCAAGAAAACATATTTTTAAGAAGATAAAAGCAATTTGTGTAGAAAGAAAAAAATCTTGTTAATGAATATCTATTGATTTTGTGGACTTTTACTGTATATTTGTGAGCTTTTGTGAGATATAACAACATTAAGCAAGTTGAGAAACTATCATTTTCTATAATGCTACACAATTACACAGCCACATATATTTTTTGTAATATAATTTTTTATTGAAAAAAAATTCCGCCTCCTCCCTTTTCCCTCCCCGTCTCCCTTTTTCTCCCCTCCTCCCTCTCTTCTCCCCCTCCCCCCACTCCTCTCCCCCTCCCTCTCCAGTCTGAAGGGCAGTCAGGGTTCCCTGCCCTGTGGAAAGTCCAAAGTCCTCCTCTCTCCATCTTGGTCTAGGTAGGTGTACATCCAAACTGGCTAGGTTCCCACAAAGCCAGAACATGAAGTAGGATCAAAACCCTGTGTCATTGTCCTTGGCTTCTCAGCAGCCCTCATTGTCCGCCATATTCAGAGAGTCCGGTTTTATCCCATGGTTTTTCAGTCACAGTCCAGCTGGCCTTGGTGAGCTCCCTATTGGATCAGACCCACTGTCTCCGTGGGTGGGTGCACCCCTCGTGGTCCTGACTTCTTTGCTCATATTTTAACTGAATTAAAAAAAAAATCCAGTTGTGCCTCAAATCAAACAGCAGATATTGTGCCTCTTTCTAAAAGATTTGCACGGCTATACCCAAGAGATGAAATGCATTCTGAAGCCTGGTTGGTGACATGATAAATGACAGCTAGAGACCCCAGTCGGCAGGCAGCAGGGCAGAAATAGTGGCCCATCCCAGGGCTTCACCATCCTGCAACTGTGGAGTGTAATTCAGTGTGGTCCAAACTCCAGATTTCCTTCCAGAGTCAGACCCCTAGTATTTGGGTGGAATCTCCTAAATTTGTTGAGTCCTTTGAGATCTCTTATAAGTTCTGGCAGGCCAAACAAAACATTCACCATCCTATATGACACAAGGGTCAGCATTTTACAGTTGCTAGTTAGATGCTATCATAGACTGTTTTGGAAATATTTAATGTCTTCTGTTTCAAACTATAATGAATCCATGGAGGTCTAAAACTATAAAATATATCAACATTAGACCCCCTTCTAATCATACAGCCAGAATTTATCTTTGTCACGGTAACTGGAATCAAATGTTGTCTGTATTCATTCCAGTCAGGACACCTGATCATTAAGCTTTTGATAAGTTCTATCACCCACGCCGCCAGGTTCTCCGACAGTCAGACTTGGCAAATGACAAATGAATAAATAATGGAAGGGGTGATTTGTTATAAACTACTCAAGGCTGCTTATAGCAAGAACATTTTCCAACTGTAAAGTCCTGTGTCCTTCAACCATAACTGTGCTGACACTGGCCGTTTCTCCTCAGCGTGTATTCGTCTGGGACTTGGATGAAACCATCATTGTCTTCCACTCTCTCCTCACCGGCTCTTACGCACAGAAGTATGGCAAGGTAAGAAATCAAGAGTTATTCCAGGAAGAGTTCAAAACTTAGCTAGTTAAAAGAATCAAGGTCTGTTTTAAAATACATTGTTTTCACTAGTCTTGTCAAGTCTTAGAATAGTCATCCCTTTGTGGTAACTTCTTGTTCTCAAATGTATACTGGCAACTCGGCAGAGCTAATTGGGAGTTGCCTTTAGATCTTTACAGGAATCTTGAGTTTTCTATCCCAAGGCCAAAGATCTTACCCTCACATATTTGGGGACCACACCCCTTCACTTACAGAAGGGCTCACCACTCCTCTGCCTTTCTCTCTTGCTACTGCTTCTGTAATGAATTTCTTAAAACACCATCATGCCTACGTGAGTTCTGTCCTCTGGACAGATACATCCACAGGATGCTGCTCTGATGGAAACATGGATGCTTACATCTTTACTTGCTTTACTATGTCAGTACAATTTGACCTCTGCAGATTCAGGCAAGAAAATGTTGGCCAAATTTCCACCCCTGTATTAAAATGTGTTTAGCTTTGGTTCTTTTACTTACCACAGTCACACCTACAGAAATGCCTTGCCATCCCTTTACAGCATGACAATTAATTGGTGGACCCGTATGTCCTATCAACATGATAATTTTAGCAACTGTTATATTTTTATCTTCTAGAAAATATATGATGGACTGCATTCAAGTGTGTCTTTTTATCTCATTTTTTATTTATATGTGTGCATTTGTATGTTCATGTGTACATGCATTCATGTGACCATGAAAGCCAGAAGAAGGTGTCAGACTCTGAAGCTAGAATTACAGGAGTAATATCAGTGTTGGGAACTGAACCCAGGTCCTCTGAAGGAGCAGGAAGTGCCCTTAACCACTGGGCCGTCTTTCTAGTATCAAGTGTATCTTTGTAAATTTTAACTTGGGTAATCTATATTGTCCTTTGTTTTTCTTTTCTTAGTAGATACAAAAGGTAGTTATTTTTTTAACAACTATTTACAAGAAAATATCTTAGTCTTTTTTTTAGCACTATAATCATCTGGCATAGTTGTCTTCAACTATACTTTCAGGGATTATTTCCATAATACATAAAAGAGTTGGCTCCAAAGCAGGATATGTACATAGATATGTCTGCTGGGATAAGGAAAGAACATGTGGACTAGTGAAACAAATATGCACACACATTTGCCTCTCATATTTATTGACTTTTATTTTTTTTTCATGCTCCTCGATATGTTTTATAAGTATATGGGTGAGCTCAGGCTGCTGTAACACAGCACCTCAGACTGGCTGATTTCAATTTCTTTCTCCAAGTTCAATAGAGTTTTTCTCAAAGTTCAGAGTATAAGGTTTAATTCTGGTCAGGGTGACCTTCTTGCTGTCCCAAACTTTGGGGAATACAGAGGAAGACAACAAGTTCTTGTTGGAGTGTGCCATTCTTGTAACCAAATTTTTCTTTCATGCTCCCATATTGGAGGTTAGGAATTCAACATATAAATTTTTTTAAAGATTTATTTATTTATTTATACAGTAGCCTGCCTGTAGGCCAGAAGAGGGCACTAGATCTCATTATAGGTGGTTTTGAGCCACCACGTGGTTGCTGGGAATTGAACTCAGGACCTCTGGAAGAGCAGTCAGTGCTCTTAACCACTGAGCCATCTCTCTAGCCCTCAACATATAAATTTTAAGGGAGCACAAACATTCAGTTCATAGCATATCTAGATGAGATTGTAATTAAAACATGATCACAATTTATAACTAAATTATTGTGATAAATCTGGAATGCAAAATCAAAATTCTGTGGCTAGTGGGCTCTGAAATCTATTGCTTTTCATTTCTCCCACCAAATGAGATGCCTGAATAAAGTGATCATAGCCTCATGAGTCCTGCCCCTACCCAGTGAGTTCTTATGGCCATGGATCTTTGTCCACCCTTTTATTTGCACTTCTATTTTCTGTCATTAGTTGAAACCACATAGCATTTCACTGGAACGTATTAATGCTAACACCATCACCAGGCCTTGGACATCCAGACTCCCACAATCTTCAGCTAAAATCGGCTTTTCTTTCTCAGTTACCCCATCTCAGATACTCTGCTACAGCAACAGAAACACCAACCAATGTTGTTATGATGTGGCTCACACCAGTGATCCCCATGAGCTCTGAATTCTTGTTACCCCAGACACTAACTCCATTCTGAGAGGTTATAGAACCTTTAGGCAGAAGGGCATAACAAGCAGAACTATGTCAACAGGAGAATACCTTTGGAGCTAATATCAAGCCTCTGATGTCTCCTATCCTCAGTGATAAGAACTGTCCCATCAAAATACAGTGCCACTACTTTCTTGTCCAGTGCATGAGGTCAAGTGATTATGGACTGAAGCCTTTGAAACCATGAGCCAAACAAACACCTCTTCTCCTTCAAACAAAAATGCCATAGAACAGCAGGGAAGTTCAAATGACTTTCCTCAGTTGAGTCACAAATTGACTGACTCTAAGAGCAACACTGAATCCAAGATCTCAGGGCATTTTCCACAGGGGAACATCACTGACAAATCTCTCAAGAGGCACTGGCAAGTTTCTAATGCCCAGCTTGATGTAATTGATGATTTTCCAGGTTTGAAGTGGAGTTTATTCTTTTTGCATATGGTACATCTATCCCTCAGAGTGCCATTAAACAAAATACATAAGAATAGGGCTACTTGAGCTGGAGGGAAGTGGTAAGGGGTGAGAGATTTCTCATGATCCCCGCAAAGCAAGGGCCCTCTTCTGTTACTCTTGGTCACCCAAGATGAGTTTACAGAGGCTGAGACTTGCTCTGAATACATCTTTCAATGAGTCATCAGCTGATCTAGACCAGATGCCCTGGACCTGGATAAGCATGACAAATCATTTAACCTGCAAGGCCACTTCCTTATCCAAAGGTGATTGTAGCGGTATGGTGGTAATCTCAATACCCAAAAGACCGAGGTAGGAAGAGTGTAACTTCAAGGCCAGCCTGGACTATACAGTACGTTCCTCAAGGCCAGCCTGGACCTAGTGGGTCCCAGGCCAGCCTGAGATACATAGCAAGACCCCGTCTCAAAATAAATAAGTGGTTTTGAACTTAAAACTTAAAAGGAACTTAAGGTGATTGTCTTCCTTGCTGGAGTTATTAGATGGTTTAAATGAGGTCATGTGAATATATCAGTGGCACTTAGCTATGAACAGAAGACTCTATTTATTAAGTCAAATACATTTAAGTAGCAATGCACACTCTTTCCCCCCAAATGATAAGTAACTGGAAACGGGTGCTTTCAGAGTTGCAGAAGGTCCAGATTTGCTCTCATGATGCCTAGGGTTTCACGGTGCTGCATGGCATAAAATACATTGAGCCTGAAGTAGTAGACATGTGTACCTGAACTGTGCCTAAACCACACCCTGACATTATCACACCTATCAACCTGCCTGCCTCCCTCTTTCTCCCATACCCAGAACTTTTTAGCAGGTGTAGTCTTTGACCTCTGACACTGTGTTTCCACAAGTACATTCTCTTCCGTGCATTGCCCACTTAGCTCTCACCTCTGCGCTGCACATTTGATGCTGTACAACATATTTTACAGGTGGCAAAACTAGCCAGAACTTGTCTTTCTGACCTGGTCTTAAGTCTCTGTCCTCCTTCAGTTTGGTGCTGTCCCACAGTACCTTAGCAAATAAAATTCAAGCCTCCTGTGTTCTAGGAATGCCATTGTCTCATAAGTGCTCTCGTGGAACTAATTTTATTTATTCGCTTAAGAACACTTGTAGAAAATTCTGTATCCACTTGTAAATAATACAAAAGTTTCAGAGTTCTTCCTCATATGTTGTCACTTTTTGACTCTGCTCAACTGTCAACACTCCCTCTTCCCGAGCAGAACTATTTCTGGATCTTTCTGAGAGTGGCAAGTGCAGGCTCTGCTGCTGGAAGGCTGGTGATGGGTTCTGTAGCCGAACACCAGTTGGCACACACAGTTTCATCACTGCAAAAATCTAAAATAGAAGTTCACGGACTTGACAGCATGGCACCCAGGCATCATCCACCACCTGGGAGTTGTAGAGACTGTTCTGACGCTCTGAGTTGTTGGATGTATTATTTTACCTAAATAACAATAACTCCCTAGTAGGTGATGGAATAAATATCAATAGTTTTGCTACAGGGATTCAATTTATGTTGGAGCATTATTGACTTTTGTGTTTGGAAGCCATGGCTATCCAAAGCCATTATGCAGTAAGGAGGCCAGTGAAATAAATAGCCCAAGCCAGAGGGGAAACAATCATGGAAAGGTGGATAATTATATTAAGATGTATAATCATAATTCAAGCTCCCAAGGAGACTTGCCTATATGAAGCAATGTCTGTGGAAGAGCAGAGCGCATCAAATTAACCATCCAATTGCGCCTGGATTTAACAATCTACGCACCCACATAGAACCAAGACTTTGAAAGAAGCACTGGCTCATTTTTTATAGTGTTATGAAGAAAGTAGACTTGCATGATTTAATAGGAAGTAACAGGCATTGCTAAACAATTAGAATTGTGCATCTGAAGTAGCAATCAGGACACTTAACACCACGGCCATGACCTCCTTTCTGAGCATAGGAGTTAAGGTTTGGCTTTGGGGAGAAATAAAGAACTAAGTTCAAATTCTATTTCTGCCTCTCATGATCACGTGACCTTGAGAAGTTTGTTTTGTATGTGGTTCAAAGGGAATTTAAAATTTTGGCAAATGAATGCTTTCCAGGAATCATATTCCTTCCATTTGTATCTGTTAACTTCACCATTCAGTATGAGACACTCAATTGAGTGACAAGAACTCAGCATTATTTATAGCCAGGGTGACTAGAGTCAGGATTTGAAACACGTTAAGTAAATGAAAATAGAACTGAATTTCCAAGTGTCAAAAAATAGACAATTTGGGTCACGTGTAGTAGTGTATACTTTATTCCAAATACTCATAAGGATTCCTATGAGTTCAAGGCCAAATAAATGGGTAGTACTTTTCA